AAAAATGTTGAACAAATAAGTAAATAACTGTCTTCAAAGTTCTACTGCATTTTTCTAGTAAGACACAGCTGTAATGTAAATTCTTTTTCTCCCTTATATGCACTCCAGATGCAAACCTTTATAAAGAAACTTTTAAAATTGTGTATTTTCCAAATTAAAAGTTTTTAAAAGGATGTTAACCAATGAAATAAGGTGTCTAATTTCACATTCTGTGGAATTAAAAATAGAATGTTCTTTATCATTGAATGTTTCACAATTTGCCAAGAAATTTTTTTTCCATATTAAAAAAAATCCCTTACATATCAATAATCAGTAACCTCTAATAAATATTCTGCAGCATAGTTTAGCTTTTGCTCCAAACTTTTTATTATATAAAAATATAATGTGTTTTTTTTTTTTAATAACTGTCATATTCCAGTCACTGGGCTATATCTTATCTTTTTCACTTCATATTTTCCATGTGAGCATTCAACTTTCAGTTTTACTGACAAGACATCACAGACCTCTTGAAAAGTGTCTTTCCTTGGAAAGTCACTCTGGTGGGATCTACTGGTTCTTTTTTTTTATCCCAATTGCATCTGCCTGGTTCAATTGCATATCCTGGTTCTGCCGTTTCATTGATTCACCTTAGAAATCTTTCTTCAATATACACTTTTAAGAAGCCTGTTCTGCCCCATCTTTCTTCCATATTATCTCTTATCGCTAACAATCATGTTTTGTCCCTTTTTTCCCAACAAAACTTCAAGGTCATGAAACAGTTTTCAGTCACAGGCAATGCAGTATTGTTACAATAAGTAGTGATGAGGGTATCAAACTGCTATATCTACTCTAAGCCAGCTAAGAAAGCTTTGTCACATAAGAATAAAAAACTAGGCTTAAAAGAAACAAGAATGGATAACAACTGTTTATCTGAAATATACAAAGAACAATTTTACACCATAACTAACTTTGTCTATCACAGTGCAAACAACAATGGAAAGATCCTGCTACCAGTAACTATCGCTTTCACAATATTGTCTCTTTTTTTGTATACAATTGGCACAGTTTCAAAATGAAAGTTTGCTGAACAGAAATCATATAATTACTAGTTACTGAATACAAGAAGCAAAATTTTAAACAACTATTCTACAAATAATGACAATTATATAAAACACAAAATGCAGCAAACTTTTGGTGCTAATGAATTCTTCTACATTACTAATGCATTTAAAAGCATATCTAATGTGAATTTATTGAAGTAGTAATTTTATGCTAAATATACAAGTGTCCTCTAATTTTGTTAACTATATCACAATACTTTGCATAATGTAAACAATTTTACTTAGACAAGCTGAAGTCACTTAATAAAATGGAGTTAGAATACTGTTTGCTTCAACACAAGGACAACCTCGATATTTCATCCCCATTAGCACATGTCAGACATCATGGATGGGTCAGGCTTCTTACAATATCAATAGTGAGGAAATAACTGAGGATCCAAGAACAAACTAAAAATTCATCAAATCACATAAAAACTAAACTGTAATAAAGCCAATTAACAGACGTTATTGGTCCTTGATTTTTTTTAAAGATTTATTTATTTATGCGTACAGAACTGGGGTACAGGCCAGAGGGTGCAGGACCGGTGAGAGGCTTCACTAGAGACAGAGTGGGGAGCAGAACAGGCAGGTCAATGAAGTACACTGTTGAGGGAAGCAGCGGGCAAGACATGAGAGGTCAGCTCAAGAGCTGGGGATGGAAACATCCCCAGCTGAAGTGGCTGTGGCTAGCTTGTGGTGCTGTAACCCACTGGGCCACCAAGGAGAGCTGGTCCTTGATTTTTACAAACCATTCTTACCAGCCACCAAAACCTCAGTTAACTGGGTTCTCAAGGCATGGCAACTCTTAAAACAGCACATCAAGGCAAAGACAGCTGAGAAGGAACAAGTTAAGCTGAGCATGACCATGACAATGAGAACTCACAGCAAGGACAATAAGAACTACAACATAAAGGAGATATAAAAATGTCCAATAGTACAGAATTCCAAGTATACAATATAAACACTAGATAAGAATTTCTATTCCAAGCCTACATTACAGAAAATGTTTATTCTGTGCCTCATTTGCTTATTGTGTATAACAATCATGCCACATAATATATTCTTAATCAAACTACATTTGATAAGCTCTTATTGTTTTTAAAAATAGCATTTAAACATTTCACTCATCATAAGTTACTAAAAAGAATCTAGAAAATACTAGTTATAAAGAAAATTAAAATTGCTTGTAATCCTCTAAGAAGAAAATACCACCATTTATATCTTGTGCATATTTTCCCAGGTGCCTTTTCTGTAACTTAATGCCATCTCCATTATTTGGGAGTATACCTGCAACTCAAAAAATCATTGTGAAATTATTTTAATGGCTCCACATGCCAAAATTTATTCCCATATCATTGCAGACATGGGTTGGTTTAAATAATTTTTCAAAGCATTTTTTTATATTGTATATGTAACAATCCACTGAAATTTCTAAAATCTAGATACAGACAGGAAAATTTTTCAATGACTAGGTAAGCAACAAGGATAAAATTTTAGTTGTAATTTTTAAAACTAGATTATCAAATACAATATTTAAGTTCAATGATCAAATATTTGTAGAATTAAATATCTGGATAAGTTTTAGAAATAATAATTTAAGGGATTTCTGATGCCAGGAATAAGAATCTTCTAATAAAGAGATTCTACTGTTATTAAATTATAACCATGCTAGTAAAACAGTATCCACTAACAACTCAGCCATTGCATTCATTTATTCATAAAGCAAATAATTACTGAGTACCTAAAATTGATAAGACATTATGCTAGGTTGCATGAATATCATTATTAAGAGTCTTTTTTGTAAAATAATCTTCAAAATGAGGTAAGAGCATTTAGTACATTTTAACAAAAGAAGAAATTCACCCAGAAGCCCACTGTACCTCTGCTCCCACTGTACTTATTACCGGGTGTTTGTCTCTCTCACTAAACTGAGCAACTTGAGAACAAAGACTGTCACTATCTTTTTATTTCCAGGTCTTGATATAAAATAGGAGTTCAATACAGGTTTGCTGAATGACTCTACATTTACAATCCAACATTTTAAAGTCTAAAACCATTTAATTATATAAATAAAATGATACAAAATCTATTTTTTTGATAATTCTGTTTTCATTCTATTTTCCATGTTAACAGTCTTCATAATCTTAATGGCTTATAGTCCATCAGGCTATGTGTTCTAGAAAACAATCCTCCTAATATTGGCTTTGAAGATTGTTTTGTATTTTATAGCTAATGTTAAGCAGATACACATTACCTTACAAGTCTCACATTTATTTCTGAGTGGAAAAATTTGGTTTAACTCTAAGAAGACAATCTTTACAACAAAAGTGAATGCTTTGAGAACAGGATTTTTATCCATGGGTAGAATTTTGAAAAAGAAAAAATATACATACATACAAAGAAACTAGAATTCATTTTGCCAAATTCAAGCAATTTAAATAAATCCTGTATAATGATATGCATTGCCCAAAGTAAACTATGTGTTGTAGGAACATATGTTTAGGATAGCTAATTCTGTGAGCAAGCAGTAAAAATACTGAGGTAACAAGACAAAATGTCTAACTAGGTCTTCAATGCTTTTGAAAGGGATATACCCTTTACCACCCCTTTCTCACCCCTTTCTTGGGTTCATGGGTTGCTCAGACCCTCAAGTTGCAAAAATACAAGCAATTTTGGGCTTCTGAAAATGCCTTGACTCTTCTTTTTCTCCACTTACTGATTCTTAAGTATAATCTACCTGCTAAGATACAAGCACTTATGCTTTGCCCTTAGAAGAAACTGATGGTAAAACCAACTATATTTTAGATTTGAGGTTAGTTTATAGACATATTTAAAAAACTTGCATGGAGTGTCTACCACTGCATCTCTAAAATGGCTCTTCACCACTAACCCAGTCTCCTTTGTTTGCTTATTTGTAAGGAAAAGAAAAGAGGAAGAACAGTTACTATATTATAATTTAATTGTAGTTCAAGTATGATTGCTAACAATTATCTTTAATAAGATAGCAAGTAACCAATAAGAGATAATTTCATTATTGAGAAGGGGATCATTGAGGTCAGTTAAAAGACATGTTCAAATATGCAAATTTAAAAAGAACTGTTATTCATGTCCAATTTTTCATGAAACTTAGTCAATGATACCTGAGTATAACTTTGCACTGGTTTATAGGTTTTTTCATACAGACGCATAAAACAGGCACTCACCGGACACATATGTAACAATTCAATTATTTAAAACAGGAATTCTATAGGTGTGGTTTAGAACATGGAACCTTTCATCTCCAGAAGTTCCATCTAGAGACTAAGTTGATAAAACTCAGTAAAAAAGCGCATGCCAGGACAAAGACCCCCAAAGACTACAAAGCCACGCTTCTATAAACGCCCTACAGCAAAGTTCACAGTTGGCACTTGTGGCACACTCAAGCCACCACTGAAGCAGCTGTCACAGGCCAATCACACACACCCAACTGTGCCAGCCTGCCACCTAAGAAAGGCAAGCTGATTAGCGTACAAATCCCCCACCGAATAAAGAAAAGCCCCAAATCCCCACCCTGAAAAGCACAAAGCTTGCACTACCCAGTAAACTCTCCTAAAAAAGTGAAAGGTTGAGATTTTAGACAGTAAATACCAGCTTATAGCAAAAACAGTAAAGAGGTTTTATTTGGGCATTCGCGAGAAAGGTGCCACACCACTCAGTCACCACGGAAGTACCACTGCTAGGTCGTGCCTCCAGGTTTTTTTCAACTGGAAGCTTTTTCAATCGGGAAATGGGGAGAAAGGGGCAAAGGGGAAAAGCAAGCCCTGCAGCACCCCCCTCCAGGCAGCGCAGCCCGGCAGCTGCGACCTCCACTCCCCAGGCCCCCTCCACCCCTTCCCAGTCATCGGCTCTCACCACGAGCCCGACCGGCTCTGACTTTCTTACCTTCGCTTTGCCGGCCTCCAGCTTCTTCTGTCTCTCCTCGTCCTCCATGGCCTCTGCGGGGTAGGCTGGGAGAAGACAGGGAGGGAGTCGGGTAGGGAAAGGAAACGACGCTTCAGACGGAGGTGGGACCGCCAGCTACCAGGCCGGGAGAGCGGGGCCGGGGCCGGCGCTCCCCCCGCCCGGAGTGGAACTAGTCTCCGAGCTCACGGGCGGACCGGTCTCTGCCTCACGAGCAGCGCCGTCACCGCTGCCGCCATCTTCGTCTCCACGTAAACACACGGTGGGGCGGGGGCGGGGGAGGGGGCTCACGTCAGTCCGCGCAGCCGCCGCGAACCCAGCCGCGCCGGGCAGGTGCGCGCAGCCCCGCCCCCGCCCTTCAATTCCCTCCTCCCCTCCCCACGCCCGAGAGGAGACCGGGAGGGGTCTGGGTCTCGACTCCTACCGAAAGCAATCTAGAGAGGAGAGCACCCTTTCCCGGGAGCGAGCCGCTCCCCAGGTAGCGGCCTGGCTGAGCGGGTGGAGAGGGTGTGCCTAGGGCACACAATCGGACCCCCACCCTCTTCTGAGGAACTCAGTGATTATTTTTAAAATATTGACTGTTAAAAAATACATTACAAAAATAACCAGTCTAACGGTGAAAGCGGTAAACAATGAAAATCCCCAAAGAAAAAGATAAGGGGTTGGGGGCGTGGCAGAAGACCCTTGGGACGTCAGTTTCTTAGCTTAAACTGACACCTCGACCGTAGGAACTGGGAGAGCGCCAGTCGCTCCCATTACTTCCTTAACCGAAAGTCCCTCCCACTTCTCCACACTGGTCGGCCCAATTTCGGGTTCATGGGCAGGGCCCTTTTCACACGCCGCCACGCAGGCTCCAAATACCAACAGCTTTTCTAATTTCTTTGTTTCCTCAACTACAACTGGATCTAGTCACAATTAACCAATCATGTACTTAGAGATTCAGCTTAGGGGTGGTGTCTTGAAAGGAGCATAGAAAACCCTAGTTGGTCAAAAAGTTAGTATACTGTCTAGTTTGAATGACCTTGAATAAGTTACCTGTCTTCCTTGATCTTTTTGAAAGGGTTGTTTTATGTTTATATATAGATATAGCGGTGTATATGTATGTGTGTATATACATATACTATATATACTATATATACACACATGCATATCGCACATACATAGATATGTGTGTACACGCACACGAGTTAATTATGTGACTGTCCCAATTAATTAAAACCCTCTTCTCAGTGTCAGTTCCTTCTCCTTGTATTTCCTTTATGAACTCTATGTTATTTGAGTAATTTGTCCATTAATACAGCTAATACTAATGACTCCTTTATGGTTAAAGATGTCTTGCTTAGCATTGCTAAAATGACTAGCACAGTGCTTGCAACAATTGGTTTGAACTGAGCCATCTTAATAAACTGAACATTACTCATTTCTTTCCTTTCATGTAATCCCTCAAGACTTAACTTTTTTTTCTCCTCACTCTCTTAGCCCCAAATCCTTGAAGAGAGGAGAAATACACACTTCAGTGTTGTAGGTGATTCTCAGTTTGATCATGTTTCTCTTTTGTTTGAACTAAGGTGGAATCAATACAAAAAATAGCAGGTGAGAACTAAAATAAGCAATGAGTTCAACTGTATTATGTGAAAATTGTACAGAAAAGACCTTAAGTCTGTCACAACCTGGACTAGTTTAAATTGCCTAATTTAGAAATTTTTTAATTTATAAAAGTTCCTTTTTCTTCAACTCCACAGTACATTCACAATCATGCCGTCTTGTAACACCCAAATATATATTGTTTTGTTAACTACCAGCTAAATTGGAAACACTGAAATTAGACATTTTGTCATAGGAATTAAAGAACTGAGGTAATAAAGAAAGCAGTGATTCTAATGCATCTATCAACCTGAGAGTAGAGGGACAGCTTCTAGCCAAGGTTATAATAGTAATTTAAATACTTCCTTAATGGAGGGATAATGTTTGTAGATGCTGATTGCCTAGGAAGAAAATACCCTAGGATATCTGATGAGATACCTTTTGCTGTGTTAATAAATACTTCTTTCTCCATAACTATAAGGGATTCAGCTATTTTTTCCCACAGATGCTGTAAATGTTCAAAAACACCTTCAAAATGAACAAGATTATTTCAGTGTTTCCCTTCACAAACAACACTCAATTGTATGTGTCTGTTTTGTGTAAATAGTTACACCTCAGAGTTATTTTGGGTTTGGGTCCAGATCACAGCAAAATAATTAATTAAAGGGGTATCACAAGTTTTTTGGCTTCCCAGAAAAAGAAGTGTTTATACTACACGGTAGTCTACTAAGTATGAAATAGTATTGTCTTTAAAAAGTAATGTGCAGGCCCTCCCTGGTGGCTCAGCGGGTTAAAGCACAGAACTAAGAAGCTAAAGCCATTTCTGCAAGAGTTCGATTCCGTGTGCCCCAGAGGTGAACACATGGGTGGCAGACCTCTCCTGGCCCACCCGCTGCTCCCCTCAGCAGTGTACTTCGTAGATCTGCCTGTTCAGCTCCCCACTCTGTCTCTGGTGAAGTCTCTCACCACCCCTGCACCTCTAGCCTATACCCCAGTTCTGTATGCATAAATAAAAAAATCTTAAAAAAAAAGTAATGTGTAGTATTACAACTGAGATGGAAAAAGGCACAAAATGATGTAAAAATAAATAATTACATTATATTTTAAAAAAAGTAATACATTACTTGCATTACTGCAAGTAAGCTGCACCTGCTTCAGTGAGATTTCGATCCCTGCCCCAGAGGTAATCCACATGGCAAGGCAGGCCTTTCCTTTCCCACCCTCTGCTCCCCTTAGCAGTGTACTTCCTCAGTTGGCCTATTCTGCTCCCCCTCTCTGTCTCAGGTGAATCCTCTCACCACCCCTGCACTTCTGGCTTGTATCCATGTTCTGTATGCATAAATAAATAAATCTTGTAAAAAAAAAAGTAATGTGCATACCTTAATTTAAAAATATATTTCGGGCCCTCCCTGGTGGCACAGCGGGTTAAATAAAGCACAGCACTAAGAAGCTAAAGCCACTTCAGCATGAGTTTGATCCCCGCCCTCTAGGTGACCCTCATGGTGTGGCAGGCCACTCTGGCTGCTCCCCTCAGCAGTGTACTTTGTCAGTTGGCCTGTTCTGTTTCCTACTCTGTCTCTGGTAAATCCTCTCACCGCCCCTGCACCTCTGGCCTGTACTCCAGTTCTGTATGCACAAATAAATAAATCTTTAAAAAATATGGGCCCTC